GTTTGAGGTGTTTGGGGGTTTTATTGTTTGGGTGCCAGAAATAGAACCCAGGATCTCACACACAAGCCCAGTGTAGGAATTTTACGTGTCCTCTGCCAAACTCACATGTGTGCTTTTCCAAAACGCTTTTTAATGGTAATTAACAATGGCCAGCTCTCATTTGTACCAAAGGTGAATTTAGTGCCAAGCCACGCTCCTACTGCAAACCTAAACTCCTCTCGAAGAGCGGGGTCCCAGGACAGATTCACGCTGAAGAGCGGTGGACAGAGAGGAAGGCCCCTCTGCCCATTGTTCTGAGCCAATGCATGAGGTTTGTTCTGAGCCCTGGGTTTGACTGGCTGGATTTAAACAAAAACCTACTGGATCAGTCACTGAGCTCAGCGCTGTGTGCTGGGCGGCCCGCTGCTTCACTGCAGCCTGGACAGACTCAGCCCGGCCACACCAGACTTGGTTGCACTTAATAGAAAGCAGGCACTTCTTCATTTCTTCTAAAACATCTTTTCAATAAGCCTGGAGAGAGGCTGGAGTGATAGCACCCAGCGGGTAGGGTGTTTGCCTTGCACGCAGCCCAACCCGGGTTCAATTCCCAGCATCCCATATGGTCCCCCGAGCACGGCCAGGAGTAATTCCTGAGTGCATGAATCAGGAGTAACCCCTGTGCATCACTGGGTGTGACCCAAAAAGCAAAAAAAAAAAAAAAAAAAAAGAAAGAAAAGCCTGGAGAGGTTTTTGTGGACCATAATAAAAACTGAGTCAAACTCACAGACTCCAAAAATTTATGATTTCTCAAAAACAGTTTAGCCTATAAATCTTACTTTTTCCTATCTACTTCTATCACTCTGCCCCTCTCGAAGAGTCCGGCAAGCTACAGAGAGTATCTCGCCTGCATGACAAAGCCTGGCAAGCTCCCCGTGACGTATTCATATGCCAAATACAGTAACAACAGATCTCACAATGGAGACGTTACTGGGCCCGTCAAGCAAATCGATGAACAACAGGAGGACAGTGCGACAGTGCATTATATATATAATAATTGACATTATTATATCTAACCAAAATAATAAGATCTACGACAAAGTAATATGACTTGAAAAGAGACAGAATACAGTCTCCACGATCACCAATAATCTCTTAGTGAGCCTTAATTCAGATAAACCCAAATGGCCACATGAGAAAATTTCATGCCCGTATATAACTCCAGAATTGAAGTTTTCTGATTTTTGACCGATGCTGACATTTTTATTCTAGGAGATTAATATTTTAAAATTATTCTACTTAACACTTAATACACCATGATACACAGAGTAGACACTCATTATTAATAAAGCCCTATTAACTGGAGAGCTAGTCTTTCTTGCTCACAGTAAATAAATTTCACCAGGTATAAATATTAACTGTAACATTCATGTATTTGAAATGTACAATAATATAGTCCAAACTGAAAAATAAGCATTTTTGCATTTCTTAAGAATTTTCTATTAAACTGTTGGCATATCACATCACTGAAAAGGGGAGCGGGGAACCAGCTTAGAAAAGGATTCTGCGGAGGGCCAGAGAAATAGCACAGCGGGTAGGGTGCTTGCCCTGCACACGTCAGACCCGGGTTCGATTCCCAGCATCCCACATGGTCCCCTGGGCACCGTCACGGGAGTGCGGAGTCAGAGGAGAGCTGGGTGTGGGTGGGTGGGAGGGAGGGAGAGAAGGAAGGAAGGGAAGGAGGGCAGGCGGGCTGCTGCCATGGGCCAGAAGTGGTCCAGCGGCTCAGGGCACCTACCACCTGCCCTCACCGTACATCCCACTCCCTGGGGACCAACATAACATTGAACACAGGATCGTTGCTGGCTGAGTTTGGCGGTCCTGCTGCTAGGGACCCCCAATGCTTCCACGTCCCAAAGGATGTGCAGGATGAGAATCTAACAGAGAAGCTGGCCCAGTTATCTCTGGAGAGAAGAACTGGGTAAGGATCTGGGGGAGAGAGGAAGTACTTGGCATTACGCACGCACTGCACCTTGGGAAGTTTAGACACGAATGAATGTACTACCTATTCATAAAAATCACAAGCCGCGATTACGACCCTACTTGATACTGATGCTGAGTATAAACATAACCAATAATTTAAGACGCTGACATTCTAAAAATAAACAGCATCGTTACTGTACTAATAAAAACTTTCTGTATATTTTTATGATACGATAAATTTAGCTCGACATTTCATGCAAATGGCCTTTCTTACCTGGGGGACGGGGGGACCACAAGGGCAGAGCGCAGAAGCTACTCCTGGCTCTGTGCTCAGCAGTGACCCCTGGTGGTACTCAGGGGCCCATACGTGGGACCGGTCACCAAACTGGGGTCAGCAGGATGTAAGGGGAACACCTTGCCCCTGGATGACAAGCCCCACCCCCCACACGGCCTTTGAATATTCCTTTTTATTCCAACCCTGTGAGAAACAGAAACCTCAGCTCTGAATGAAAACCAACCCCCGTGAGACTGGGAATTCTCACAGCTAGGAAGGTGTCACCCAGCGTGCTAAACAGCCGAGAGAAGCTTTCTCTGGGGAATCAACTCACTCCGCGTGGGGTCGAGGGGCCGAGGGCTGCTGCGAGTTCCCCTGTGTGTGTGGGGGGGGGCAGGGGTGAAGCTCCACACGGGCCAGGCAAGCACTCACCTGCAGGGCCAGAGCCCAGGTCCAAGCCCACTATTCTGTGGTTTGCCCTGTGGCTGGGCCTGCTCCCAGTTCTGTGCGCCAGGCCGTGGCAAGCTGAACAGAGACCTGGGACTTTCTGCATGTAAAGCATGACTCAGCCCATTGACCTGTTTCTTCAGCCCAAGTCCCACCCCCAAAAGAGTTCAATTCAATACTGAATTTTGTATTTTATTTTTTTAACGGTGCAAGGAATTGAACGGAGCCTCATCTAATATATACGCGGCCAGCGAGCCACGTCCCGCCCCAACGCTGCCTTTTCTTTTCTCTGTCTCAGCCATACACACAGTGGAGCTCAGGATGTACTCTGAGCTCTGTGCTCAGAGACTACTCTTGGCAGGGCTCAGGGGGCGCCGACAAGGCCAGCGCAGTGCGGCCTCCCCGGCACCAACTTCTCCTTCTCCTTTAATGACTGCGCACAAGAAAACTCAGAACCAGGGGCACAACTTACGGAGGTAAAATCCAAATAATGGTACTGCAGCTCACGTTCCTCCTTTTGACCGAAATGCGTAAGCAACAGAACATTCAAAATCACACACAAAGAAAAGTCAGACTGGGGCTGGAGAGAGAGCACAGCGGGGAGGGCGTTTGCCTTGCACGCGCCGACCCAGGTTCGATTCCCAGCATCCCATATGGTCCCCCGAGCACTGCCAGGAGTGATTCCTGAGTGCAGAGCCAGGAGTAACCCCTGTGCATCGCCGGGTGTGACCCAAAAAGCAAAAAAAAAAAAAAAAAAAAAGAAAAGTCAGACTCACGGTAACAGAGAACAGAACTGAGATCACACACTGGACGTGGGGGAAAGAGACATTGATCCAGGGTTTCAGAAACTGCCATTCTTCACTCTCTCTCTCCTCTCTCTGTGTCTCTCTCTCTCTCCTCTTTCTCTCTCTCTTCTATCTCTCAATCTATTTCTCTCTCTCTCTCTCCTTCCTCAAACTTCCAAATAAAACCTGTTTTTTACTTAAAAAAAAAAAATCTGGGGCTGGAGCAATAGCACAGCGGGTAGGGCGTTTGCCTTGCACGCAGCCAACATGGCCGACCCAGGTTCGATTCCCAGCATCCCATATGGTCCCCCGAGCACCGCCGGGAGCAATTCCTGAGTGCAGGAGCCAGGAGGAACCCCTGAGCATCGCCGGGTGTGACCCAAAAAGAAAAAAAAAATCTAAACAAAACAGAACAGTCATCCTACGACACACAGATTCCGCAGGTTTACTGTGCAGGATGGTATTGAGTGTCACCAGCAGGCCCTGCAGGGGGCAGGGAGGCAGCTCAGAGAGGTAAAGCACAAGCCCGGCACGCACAGGGCCCTGGGTTCAGCTCCTGGCGTCACAAACACTGCCCTGTGCAGGCCTGGTGGTGCCCAACACTGCCAGGCCCGAGCCGCACTGCGTCATTCCTGGGTCCAAGCCCAGGCCTGGCATCCCCCCAAGTGGCCCCAGATAACCCTTCAGACGCCAAAAAGGAGAGAAACTAATAAAGCCCAGGCTGAAAATCTGCTGACAGGGCCCGAGCGACAGAGGCACTGGCCCTGCACACAGCTGGCCCTGGCTCGATCCCCGTGTCGGCAGGAGTGACCCCGAGCATGGTCAGAAGCCTCCTCCAAGTATCTCTGGGTTTGGCCCAACAGCCAAAACAAAAAAAAATTTTTTTTAATAATTCACTGGAATTGGATCCAAAGTGCCTTCAGCACACACCTGAGCACGTGCACAGCGTGCGAGCGCACACACAAACACACACACACACACACACACACAGAGCTGGGAGGGGCTTGGGAGACACTCCAGTGCACCCAAGCCTAGGCTGGCACATGGGCACCAGTCGAGCGAGCACCATCCCCCCAGGACTGCCAGGAGCATCTCTCGACCGCCAGGCCAGGAGAGCCCTCAGCCCCACTGGATATGACCGACCCCAAAATACAGCAAGAAGGGAAAGGGACAAGGACAGAGACACCAAAGAACCAGCTTCCACTTTCATACACCAGCACCCCCGATGGGAGACCTGGTTGGGGTCACACATCGCTGATGTGGGCTCAAAACGCAGCTGGCCAGGGCTCAATGACCGAAGATTCACTCAAGTTCTCAGCGCGATGAGCCTGAGGTGCCCGGGCAGTGCTCCCCCACAGTGCTCCCCAGTTCTCTCCCATAGTGCTCTCCCCAGTGCTCTCCCACATTGCTCTCCCACAGTAGACAGAAAGTGTTTATGCACAGAGGCTCCAGAGGGGAGACCCAGGTTCAAGTACCGCCCTTCCCCCCCGCCCCCGCTGGCAAGTGAGAAGGAGGCCGAGGAGACGGAGACTCACTGGTGGAGTTGCCCTGCATCTGGATGATGCACTTGGACTCCTTGCTGGTCTCGCGGGAGTTGAAGGGCCGCACGCGGACGGCCACCTTCACCGAGGCGCCCGACATCCTGCCGGTCGGTTAGAGCTGCAGCCAAAGAAGCAAATCTTCTTTCGTCTTTTTTTGAAGTTCTGGTGACGCTTCCTGTGGAAAGAAAGAAGAAATGCCAAACGAGGCCGTCAGGATTGGCAAAAAGCACTGGGGCCTGAGCAACAGTACAGTGGGTAGGGCGTTTGCCTTGCACACGGCCAACCTGGGTTCAATCCCCAGCATCCCACTTGGTCCCCCAAGTACCACCAGGAGTAAGTCCTGAGTGCAGAGCCGGGTGTGACCCAAAAAGCATGGACCAGCATAAAGTAGACATTCTGCTCTTTTTCCTTAGCACTACTGGTTTCCACTTCATAAAAAAACAACCAAGGGGCCTTGCACATGGCCGACCGGGTTCAATCCCAGCATCCCATATGGTCTCCCAAGTACCACCAGAAGAATTCTTGGGTGCAGAGCCAGGAGTAACCCCTGTGCACCGCATCAGAGGGTATGACCCAAAAAGCCAACCCTCCCTTAAAAAAAATTCACTCCAGTTCTTTGTATTTCCAAGAGTAAATTATCAGAAACTGCACCTCTTTTTGCTACTGCATTCTCTGTCTACAGTGCTTACAGCACATCTGAACCGAGCACAAATCTAAAGTCAAGCAAAGGACAGCATCCATGGGGCCCTGGGTATTTCTGGTTCCATCTTCAGAAAAAAACGTGAAGAATTTAAAAACCGCTTCAAGAATTTTTATCGAAAGCGTTCAAGAGAACGCAGGATTCTCTGGCATCCTTGAAGCTCCATGAAGTAAAGAGAAAATCACCCAGCCCAGGTTCGGATCGAGTGACTTCAGGGAGGAACGTCTCACCTCTTGCACCCAAAGATGCATTCAACTTCCTAAACTTGAGTTAGCTTCACTGCTCTGGCAGATGTACAACTAACCAACAAGGGCCAAAGACGAGTCCCAGCAGCAATTCCCAAGCCCCCTTCCACAGCTGTGTGAACTCACAACCGTCCCGTGCAGTAAGCAGGGAACAGTAAGGTTCTTAGATAGAACCAGGCTCCATCTAAGGTGACACTAAGTCACTGTGTAACCAAATCACCAAATTGCTTATTTCCTGAGTGAGGAAAGCATGGGGGGCACGGGGGGGGGGGAGGGGGGGCCGGTAAGAGCAAGAGCGAGAATTTTTCGTAGGAATAGTAACTCTCCCCGGGCTAGAGCGATAGCACAGTAGTAGGGCGTTTGCCCTGTGCCCGGCCAGCCCGGCCGGCCCGGGTTTGATTCCTCTGCCCCTCTTGGAGAGCCTGGCAAGCTACCAAGAGTATCTCGCCCGCACGGCAAAGCCTGGCAAGCTACCTGTGACGTATTCGATATGCCAGACACAGTAACAAGTCTCACAATGGAGACGTTACTGGGCCCGCTCGAGCAAATCGATGAACAACGGGAGGACAGAGCTACTGTGCAGTATCTCTCCCAGCGAAATGAAATGAATACTTTTCTGGAAAAAGAACCCACTAGAATAATTTCTTTTCCTCCTCCCTCCACCCTTTTTCTGGGTTTTGGACCATACCCAGAGGAATCACTCTTGGTGGTATCAAGCTTCTGAGATTTTTGCTTTTTTTTTTTTTTTTTTACAAAGACAGATCTAGCAAACCTTCTAAGGAGTGCCCGTTTTACGACTGCTGATCCTTGCTTCGGAACCTTTCTAAAGCTTGACTTTCAATTTCATTTTCAAGTTCAGGAACTTTCTCTTGGTCCCCAGAGCTTACGAATCACAGCCAAAGCCAAGGTACTCTGTGTCCCAGACACGTTGGTGTCCCCCTGCGGATGGTCCCGCAGGACTGTGGCTTTCACGCCCTCACAATGGACATCTGACTCTCCATTTTCCTCTGCCGGTGGCTGGCGTCCAGCCTCACCTCTCCCAAAACGACTTGCCCAAACATTCCTGGAATCACTGGTATTTCCTAGAGCATTTATAGCCCCCCAAAACTGCACAAACACCGCTATCATTTTACATGACCGCATTTGTCATGTATTGTTCTTCAATAGCTTCCCAAAGTGAAAATCCTTGTCCCTCAAAAAGTCTTTGAACTTGCGCTCCTTGGGGAGAAGGGGGCCCTACCCACGCCTGGGCAAGATTTCAAAATAATCCTGGGACATTTTAATATGCGCAAAGCAAGAGATTTAACAAAGATGAATCAAGCTTTGGCCCATGGCCACGGGGCTCTCTTAAAGGGCTCCCACTCATCCAAGGCAGAAGAGACAGAATAAATAGACTCACACGAATTCTGGAGATGCACCAAGCACTGAATTCAAAAACCTTTTAAAAATTCCCTAACACTGGGGCTAGAGTGACTGTACAGTGTGGGGCATCACACAGGGTCCCCCAAGGACCGCCAGGAGGCATTCCTGAGTGCAGAACCAGGAGCGAATCCTGAGCACTGTCAGGTGTGGCCCCAAAATAAACAAAAAAAGTTTACTTCACTTTACTAAACAACTTTCTGTCATTTGAAAACAAACAAAAAGACTGAATAGAATCAAGCCTCAGATCTAAGTCCCAGTGTCAGGGCGTCCGGGCCCCAGAAGAACAATGAAAAAGACAACAAGGCTGGGAGATCACGCCTCACACACTGCCGATCCCGATGGGGTCCCGGGCACCCCGTGTGGCCCCAGAGAACCAGGTGCGGCCCCCAAACTGAAAAAGAAATATCCGACAACCGAAAAGCACTCAGGAAAACCCAGAACATGGGAGTATCCACAGGTCAGGCCGCTCAGCTTCAAAAACGGGCAGAACTGGGGGAAATGACAGAACAGTAAAGGAGACTTGCGTCACTTATCGACCAAATGAAAAATATTTTAACCTGAAAGTCTATTTTGAAACATTTTTTAGGGGGCTGGAGAGATAATACAGTGGGTAGGGTGCTCGCCTGGCACGCAGTCAACCCACGGTCCATCCCTGTGTCCCATATGGTCCCCTGAGCACCGCCAGGAGCAAACCCCGAGTGCAGAGCCAGGAGTCAACCCCGAGGACAGAGGAGTGATCCCCAAGGCCGCTGAGCGTAGCCCCCAAACCAGCCACAGGAAGAACAGAACTTCTTCTGTTTTCTCTGGGCCCTCTCCAGTGCTGAACGCCGCTGACGGGGCAATGACTAGGGCTGACATCCTGCGGGCTTTGTGCACGTGTGATCTGGACCCACCCTAACAGGTCCGGGAGCTACGTCCACCCGGCACCTGTCCCAGCCACCAGCCCGCCAGAGCCCAACTCCCGCCCACAGACACCAACTCTCCTGCCTCTCACCTCCTTTTTGCTCCCCTTGCACGTAGTGGACCCGGGTTCGATCCCCAGTACACCAAACCTTCCAGGAGTGACCCCCAGCACAGAGCCAGGAATGAGCCCCTGAGCACAGCTTCGGGGTGGCCCAACAGCAAAAATAAATGAATTAATTCAATAAAATTTCTTCCTAATTAAAAGAGCTAACGGTATTTTTTGGAGGTGATACATACTTTTGGAAGGAGTTGTGGGCCATCCCTCATTGGGACTGGCGGGGGGGGGTGGGGGGTGGTCACTCCTAGTGGGGCTCCCGGGAGGTTCAACCAAGACTCAGCTGCTAAGCCCTGTACTCTTCTGACCCCTGTACTGTCTTTCAAGTGCCTGATAAATACATTTTAAGTCCATTTTTCTATAATAACCGAGGCTGAAATGGTAGCTTGTTTGGGTTTAATTGTCTTGTAGTAAAGCTATAACCAACCTTACAAGTTGAGTTAAAATTTGATACCATATGGGACCAGAGAGATAGTACAGTGGCAGGGTGCTGGCCTTGCATGCAGCTGACTGGGATCGTTCTCCAGTGCTGCGTACAGTCCTCTGAGTACTACCTGGAGTAAACCCTGAGCACAACCAGGTGTGGCCCCAAAACAAAGGTAGGGAGCTTGCCTGGCAGGAGGCCAACCCGGGTTCAATCCCCAATTCCACACACAGTTCCCCAATATTGCCAAGAGTGATCTCTGAAAACAGTTGGGTATGGTCCAAGAAACCAAAACACGTATACAGGAACAGGAAGCGAGCTAACTGCACTGTAGGAAGCGTTGGTTTTCTTCCCTTCTACTAGAAATACTAGAGCATTAAAGCGTCAACACTGACATTCTGAAAAAAATTACTGATGAAATCAAGATGATATCAAGTTTAAATTCCAGTGAGAAACAAGAGAGAACTGTTTTCAGTTTCTGGAAAACAATGCTTATTATAGTAACATAAAAACATATTCCCCAACTGTTTTTGGTTCTTGTTTTACTTTTTTGGGCCACACCCAGCTTACAGGGCTGACTCCTGGCTCTGCGCTCAGGGATCGCTCCTGGCGATGCTCGGGGGACCATCGGGGATGCGGGTGATCGAACCCGGGTTGGCCGAGTGCTAGGCCAGCGTCCTACTGCGGTACTATCGCTCCGGTCCACATGCCCCAATTCTGAAGAGCAAGAGGGAGAAAGGCAAGGGCAGCGGCCACCTCCCCTCCCCTAAGTCAGCGGCCAGGGAGGGGACCGGAAGCTGGAGCACACCCTTCCCAGGTGGGAGAGCCAGTGTGATCCCAGCACCACATGGCACCCTAGAAGCACCACCAGGAGCAACCTCCAAGCCAAGAGCCAGGAACAGCCCCCGAGCACCTCTGGGTGCAGCCCCGAGACAAAACCGACCCCAACATACTCTGCCGTCACTTCCACCACGGGCACAGGGCATCAATGGGCTGGCCGGCGTCGCCTTCCTTATGACATACACACAGAACCATGGGAAAGCGGAACGGAGCCAAATTCCAAGAGAATTTCTGTTACCAATGTCCACATTTACATAAAATATTCCTAAATCCTTGCCCAATAATACTGAATTTCAAGCGCGTGTGACGCGACTCTTGCCTGTCCTCGGAGGTGCCCTGGATTAATCGGCCTGAGCAAGAGAATCTCTCCAACGGACCTTCCGCAAAGTAAGCAAACAGGAATGAAATACTACTAGTTGCCCTGGCTGGTCTGCTTTTGCAACGCCCTTTTACATCAGAAAACAGGACCTGATTCCCAAAACA